CCCCTTATTTTTCCTAATGAAAACGATGCACCCACAGCGGGTTGGTGGCTGCAGGGACTCTGGGCTAATTACAACTCCCTCCTGGCTTCGTTTGGCCCCGAGCTTTCCCCAGTCTGGCGCTGCAGGAGAACCCGGTTTGGCCGGGACACGGCGGAGGAGGCAGCATTTCCCCCCCCCAACCCCCCCTCCATCCCAGGCTTTCTCGGCCGAGGCTCTTTCTTTCTTCCTTTCTCTCTTTGGGGCTTCTTGCTGACAGCAGCATCTCTCGGCCAACAATATCCCTCATGTGGACCAGCAGCCGCAGAAGGTGCCCGGAGCCTTTTTGCCAACCCCCGGAGCCCGTGTGGCCACCGAGCCCCCCTCACTTGCCCCCAGCACCGGGCACGCACCGGGAGGGCACCCAGTGACCCACGAAGCCATCGAGGGCAGGAATTAAAGCTCAGAGGAGACAATCCCCCCCCCCGATCTCCTCCTCCCTCCCTCCCGCGGCGGCTCTGCTCCAGGAATAAATAGGTTTATCCTGCCCCTGACCTTGCTGCTGGCCCGGGGGGAGCCACCGGTGGCCACGGGGCACAGAGGGCAGAGGCGAGGAGGGAGGGAGGAGAAGGGCTTTTGGCTCCTGTGAGGGCTCTTGGCACCACCGTGGGTCCGAGGGTCCTCCTCCATCCAGCCTGGCCACCAATCCCACCCGGTGGCTTCCACGCCGGGGTCACCACTCCAGCCCTTCCCTCGCCGCCGGGGGGGGGGACACACATGGACAAAGTGTTGTCCCAAATCTGGGTTCTTTTACCCCGATACGCCAGGTGGCCAGAGATGGATTTCATTCTGTTTCTGCACAGAGCTGGGTGCTGTGATCAGAAGGTGACACGTTAAGGCCACGCTTCACCCGCCAAAAGATTAAAAGGTTGAAAGAGCCCAGATTTGGGGCAACAGCAGGATTTCTCTCACTCCCAACAACAAGAAGAAGGATGATATTTTCCCCAGCTCCCTCTCCCAGCACCGTCACCCCCCCGGTGTCACCCTCTGTGTGTCCCAGTGGGTTTCACATCCCACCAGGGCACTGGGAGGGGACGGTGGCAGGAGCGAGGGGGGGGTGGCAGCTGCTTGGACCCCCCCCTCTCCATCCCACTGCAGGGGCTCCGGCTGTTTTCCTTCTCTCCTTTCCTCCCCCCCCTGGGGCTCAGCAGCACAATGGGGCCCCCACAGAAGCCCCAGATGAACCCGAGCTCATCAACCCTTGGGTTTTCATAACGACGTGCCAAGAGCTGTGGGTACTTTCTCCCCTTTCTCCCTGCCCCACGTCCAGCTCCTCCAGGTCTCCAAGTCCCCCCTCCCTCCCCTTTGCCCGGTGGCAAAAAACTTGTGTTTCCAACAGCCAGGAATCACCGAGAATAAATCCCTTTAGGGGGTGGAGGGAGAAAAATCAGAATAAAAGGAGCAATTTCAGTTCCCAGCGGTGGAAGGCAATTAATGATTTCCTGCCCCCCACCCCCAAAGCCGCGCTTCCTTCTTGAAACGAGGGAGGTTGTGGCACCCACAAAGACACGTGTCCTTTGGGGGGGCTGAGACTTAATTAGGGCTGTGTTTAATGCTGCAGGGAGCCAGTGGCCGAGCTGTTGGACCCAAGGGTGCCGTGGCAGGGTCCCGGGGCCGAGGGCAGGGCTGGGGACGTGGCCCTCACCCCCCCAATCCGGGTGTGGGGAAAGCCACCGAGGCCGTTGGCTCCCCTCTTCCAGAGGGAATTCAATTTTTTCACCATTCTTTTTTTTTTTTTTTTTTTTTCCCATATAAAGCCTTTATTAAGAATTTTTAAACTTCCTGCTGGTGTTTGTCACAAACCCAAACAGCCATCCGACATCACCCGCTCCGGACATTTATTACCCCGTAAATACCGTCGGCGGGGTTGTGTACAGAGCTTTTTAAGATGGGATTCCTCACATAGCATCTCCCGCAAGCCCCCGCTGCGCTGCCGACCCCGGGTGGGCAGGGAAAGCCCCCCCAAAGGGCTGTGGTACCCCCAGGGTGGGCAGGAAAAGTCCCCCCCAAAGGGTTCAGTACCCCCAGGATGGGCAGGGAAAGTCCCCCCCAAAGGGTTTGGTACCCCTGGGGTGGGCAGGAAAAGTCCCCCCCAAAGGGTTCAGTACCCCCAGGATGGGCAGGGAAAGTCCCCCCCAAAGGGTTTGGTACCCCCAGGATGGGCAGTGGTGGCCATTTGGCCATGGGAAACGGTGGAGAAACCCCTTCTGCTCAAGAAAGTAAGGATTTTTGGGGTTTTTCCCCCACTTTGGAGGACGTGAGCCTGGCCACGAAGAGCTGCAGCCCCAGGGTTTGCCCAGGAACCCTGCAACACCCAGGTTTCACCTCTGTGCTGCGGTTCAAGGAGGAGGAGGAGGAGGGAGAGGAGGAAGAGAGCGGGTGTTAGTTCAGGGTGGGGAGAAAAGCCACCCCACGGAGGTGTCTGGGCAGGTAGAGCAAGCCTGGAGGACAGGACACCTTCTCCTTGACCCTTTCCCCCCCCTCCATGGCTGGATTTTTGTTGGGGAGTCCAAGAGGTTTAAGCTGACCTCATGATTTTTTTTTGTTTTAACGCTGGAGGTTGGCGATAGGGTGATAGCCCCGAGGTCCCTGAGCCTTATCTGGGGTCTGGGGGAGCAGAGAGGTGACCGAACCCGGGGAGAAAGGGACCTGTGGCCTCCAGATACCAGGGACGGGGTGAGGAGCAGCCCAGGAAAAACCCAAATCCGCAGGGTTTGCTGCTGGCTGGGACCTGCCGG